CTTGCGGCATGATCATTGGCATCATTATACGAAATATTAATTTGAATCTGAATAATTTCGTTCCTCGAATTTGTTCAATAATTTGTTGAATTAACACCTTTCTGATTAATAATGAACATATTGGTTCGAAAAAATGTGTTTGAACATGTTCCGCATCGATATTACAAAAATTGTTCGATCCCGGGATCATCCCGGGATTAAATCCCGATTCCGAGATTGAAAAATCGTCGGGATTTTGCAAACCCTAATTTGAACTTACCATACCCATACTCTTCCAAACGGTTAGAAGTTGATGGTTCAACCATACCTCAAACGTTCGCTACAAGTACACCATTAGCATTCCGTCTGAAATCACTAGACTCTTTATCCTCAGATAAGTCGGGTGGCAGTGCAATGATATATTCTCTAATTTTGTTCTCGTTGGAAAAGGATGTGATTGATATTACCATCACTATTCCTGTTAATCCGAGTCTGCCTAGTGTAGATTTAAAATATAGAGATTGGGGGGCAAGTCCCGCTATAGGTGTCGTAATGAATACCAGGGTCGTTCTGAAAGAAAATTCTTAACAGCGTTCACGATCGAATGCTGGAAGTGAGCGTTAGGGAAATAGGTTGGTGGTTCAAGTCTCGTGTAAGCATTTATTCAGGTTTATGCTCAGAACAGGATAAACATGGAAATTAGGCTTAATTCTGATCACTGTGAAATACCTCATATGTTTGAGATGACTCAATGTTATCACTTGCCACTCCTCCCCTTCACCATTCTTTAGAAAATTTTCACTCCATTCACTAAGAAAACTAAAAAAGTGTAGTCGATTCGTCACATCAATTGTGGATAAATGATTATAACAAATAAATGAAAAGCTTATGATTTACCGATGTCAATGGACTCAAATATTATGTGCTAATAGTAAGGAACGACTGAGAAAAGCAATGCATGATCGTTTGACGAATTCGAAATCAATTGCGGATGACCGATTGCATTTCATCAATAGATAATCTGTCATCCGTCATGATCATCATTTCAGCATAAATATTACTATATTTGATTTATCTTTGGATTATGACCACAATGAAAAGTCTTTATATATTTATACGTGTCTTGCTGCATATTTGTAAGCTTTATTCATTTCCTCTATGATATTATGTTGAATTTAACATTGTCATCGTTATTATACTGAATTATTTCCCTCGCTGACATCGTTTCTTGACTTGATCGACAAAAGCAACAATTGTGAATAGAAAGCGTTCAGTTCATCGTATCGCTATGAATTTTCTCGCTCTGATAATGAATCGCAGTTGAAGCAGCCAGAAATAAAATAAATAAATAAATCGAACAATCAGAAATAAAAAAAATTGCTGTATGTTTATAGCGATCGATTGCTCCCTTTATCGTGATCAGTTGCCATTTTCCTTATCACGAATTGAACAACGACTTTTTGCGACCAACTCATCACAAATTCGGTTCATGTATAACCAGCTCTGGTTATTTTCTGTGATAATTACGGAACGGTATAATCTTTCCCCACTTAATGTTTGTTGTGCATAAGAGATGGGTTCAAAACACAATATGTAGTTGTATCAGCTTGCAAGCGTCCCATAGAGAAAGTAAGCAGTTCGTAAGTTCGCAGAGCAATGTTAAAATTCAACCATTTGGCCCAATAATGGAAAACGAAAATATTGTGGATTTGGTTTTTAACATTCTTTGCTAATTTATGAAGATTTTTTGATGTTCACTTCTGTGAATGCCTAGTGAATCTGATTCAGTGTTAAATGTGACTGATTGCCTTCCGCAATTGCGTCACTTGAGACTTACACTTTTTTGTGACTATAACTCTGTTACGTTTGGAAACTTTTTCGGTATTTATAATGTGTATTTGTTCGTTGATCCATGCATATTGCGTATTTTGTGCAGTTGAATACGTTCATGTGGTCGTATGCCCCGAGCTATTTTCTCACAGTCGCTCAGAATTTTGAACAATAGCCTCGGTATCTTGGACCACACCTTATGAAAAATAAGTGCGTAAAATGATGGTGACATGGGCATGATTCCGATGTATTGAAACGGTCGTCAGATGCCGATTAAGTTGTTAACTTATGAAAGATTTGAAGGAAGTTGGAGGAGAGATGGGTAAAATCCATTATTCGTGTCAACCAGAGAACAGTACTAAATCATGCAAAGCTCGAGGATCAGACTTGCGTGTACACTTCAAGAACACGCACGAAACGGCACAAGCAATTAAGCATATGCCTTTGAAACGTGCGATTAGATTCCTCGAGAATGTCAAGGAGAAAAAGGAAATAGTTCCTTTCCGCAAGTTCAATCACTGTTGTGGACGGAAGGCACAAGCCAAGGCATGGGGACATACTCAAGGACGTTGGCCTGTGAAATCAGCTGAATTCCTGATTCAACTGCTCAGGTAATCGATTATCATTTCGTTCAGTTCATGAAAGATGTCGCCGTTAGTTTTATGAATGCACTGCAAGTAAAGAAATCTTGTAACGGAATCGACTCGCTGACTTTATGACGATGATATTGTTACAGGAATGCGGAGAGTAATGCGGAATATAAGGGACTCGATACAGATCACCTCGTTGTAGAGCATATACAAGTGCAAAGGGCTGCGAAGATGCGTAGACGAACTTACAGAGCTCATGGAAGAATCAATCGTTAGCGCTTTCATATTATTCGCTGATCACGGAGTTCATTTCTAGCCATTTTCTGTTCGCTAATTTTTATGCTCTTCGATTAATTCGGATGGGATTCATTCGGTGACCGAATGCCTGAGAGCATTTGCGCATTGATCTGTTGCTCATTTCTGTCGAACTGTCACATTTGTTCCTTCATTTGGACATCGGATATCACAAACGATTTTCAAGAAAATTTTCCGCAGATAAATGTCGACGTGACTAATCGAATCCCATTCATACTAATCACACACAAATTGAACGCTGATTCACGATATTGGTTTCATAGGTGCCGAAATAATTTTTTAAAGTACAATTTCAAAATGAAATCAATCCCTTAGTATTGCAGCATATATGTCGTCTCCATGCCATATCGAAGTGATTCTATCCGAAAAAGAAGAAGTTGTCGCGAAGCCCACTGAAACTGCTGGTAAAGTCAAGAAGGAATCCAAGAAGAAACAACGCCGTATCTTAGCACGCGGAGAATATTGATGGGAATGATTGATTTTTCGATAAATTGATTGATTTTGATTGTTATTGATCAGTGATTATATTTGTTTGTTCGTTGATTGTTGTTGCTGATTGATTTTGAATCGTGTCTTATAGAGATAATTCTTTAATTGAATATAAATATGACACGATTGTTGTTACTTTTCATCGCTCAGTTCACAACACATTTTTCTTATGCCAATTTTCGTTTCTAGAGGAGTTGCTTTCGACTATGGATAGTTCACTCGGCTGAATGGATCCGGTATTTGTCTTGTGCTCATCGCCAACATTTTTCATTACTTCATCTATCAAAACACTCAGCATTAATCTCATCATCAATATTTTTCTAACGTCATATTTATTAAGATGGCTTTCGTTCACCTACTGTTTATTGCCCATCACCCAGCAGTAATCTCGCTTCGATCAGAAGTGAACACATTCCAACTGAATCGCTCTCTACTTCAGTCTTCGGCCCTTTTTGTATCTGTACATTATAAGTTGTTGTACTCCGAGCCTTGATCAAACTAAAGCAGCATTCGTACGCACTAGATATCGACAACAGATGAAAGTGCTGCTAGAAACCGCGTCGCAGTAAGTGTGCAACAAGTCCGAAATTAGTTGCTGAGACCATGAAGATATTGTATCAAAACGGATTCTTCTTCAGTTGTCGTGTGCCTTTTACGGTGAACGTTTGAAAAATAAACATGCGACAGTGGAACATACGAGAGCATCTGCAGCAAATGGGTTATGAGCTGCTGATCAGCACATGATCAGATTAAGCTGCTAGAAGTCATTCATTATTTATTACAGTGGTTCAGGTGCTCCATTACCCATTTTGATGATCTGGCGCGTCGCGGTTAACCCCCAACCCCCCATCCTGATACAAAAAATTACAGTTTCTAAGTATAACGTCGGGAACAAGAGGAAAACCGATGCGGAAATTCCTCAGTGGCGTGAAAGAAATTAATTTTCTGGAATGGAACCAGTAATTTTAGACCTTTCTTTATCCATTGCACGAAGAACATGAACCTCAGCAACCAAAAACGAAAAGCAATAAAGAAAAAAACATTCTTCAGCGATGAAAAAATGAAATTTAACAACAACTTCAATTACTCATGAAGAAGGAAGATGCAACTAATCGCATTTATATACTTCAGTGAAAAAACACCATCACAATGGCGTTCTAATATAACATAACAAGTGCACGAAACATTAATTTCCCGACACCCTCCATTAAATCCCCTCCTACTCCCGAGACCTCCAAATTATCCAAAATTGGTAATTTCACCCACTATGAGAACCAATTTTTTATTAGGAAGTGACTTCTAGTAAGTGAGGAAAAAATTCTTCTGAAATGTTGTAACAGAATAATGAAGTATTGTGGAGTAGTGATGGTAACGAAACGAAAAATTGGTTTAGTCGGAATCCCACAGAATCCATCTTGCACTTATGGAACTCAATTTCCCTAAATAGAATTTGTACTTATGACTAAGAGTCTGATCAAAACCCGTCATGACTCGAAACGTCACTCTTTAACTGAGACCTTACAATTCAGTTTCACATTGTGACCATCATTTGTTTCATATCATTTATTCATTTGTCTCCATCTGACTCGCTAAAGAAATTACATGAAAAAGAACACAAAAAAACGAGAGGAAAAGTTCGACATTTCCAAAATATCACTCGAATGTGCACAAGAGATTAAAATTCGAATAAATCTCGTGCTCTGCAAGGGTGCAACTTGGTCTTCTTGAAAATCGAAATATGAATTGCATTCAAAAAATCTTCTTTATGTTAAACTGCCGAACAGTAATTGAACAAAATTTTTATTCATCGACCAAACTTATCAAAAACAAATAAACAAAAAACAACACCGCGATATTTAATTACTACTCTTATTCCATTTATAACCGTGAACGCAGCAACAAATACAACGGGAAATAACTTTTCCAACACAACATTCTATGTTCATCTTTAAATGCTTTTCGGATTCACCACTAGTTATTCCAGTATCTATAGCTTAACAACATAAAATCAGACAGAGGAATTTCGTTGACGGTGATCGAAAAGGGGGAGGGTGGAGGTGATTCAAAACGTCACAATTCTCTATCTTATCAAACAACTGAAGTTTGATGAAATCTCCTCATAACGCAAATAACAGCTGAAAGTGATAACGTCAATGAGATTCATCGAAAACCGACCTATGCGTAACTTTACTCGAATATAATTCGATAAATTTCATGACTGAATCCAGGATAACTGAATCGTAACTTTCAATTGTCAACTAGTTGAGTTCTTTATTTAATGAGTGGAAATGTTGCCGTGTGAACAAAGAGCATTTTAAACTGAATATAAACGAGATTTGTGCAATTACAAAGTAATTCGATAAATGATCTGGACAGAAATATCAATTCATTAACGAACGATCGAACGCCCGTTCAGTAGCATTGGTATCACATTGTCAACTCCATGATTGCATTCACAATATCGTTATCTGCTTTCTTCAGCGCTTTTATAGCCCTGTTACGGGTCACGTTCGCTTGAGAGCATACCTTAAAATGTTACTCGCACTTACATACCCGCATTGTGAACTCAACTTCCACCATAATCCCAGCAATTCTTTCAAATCTTTGACAGATACTTCAATCAAAACCACGAGAAAAAAAACGTCCTCCTCTAGTAATGAAAGCAATTCCTCTTGCAATCAATATTCCATTAACAAATAACAATACTAACATCTATCAAAAGTATGAAGTGATTTGAATTAGTTGCTAATATGGTTTCAAATGAATCAAACAGTGCTATTACAAGAAGCATGAACGAACGGAACGAAAACGAACCAATTCGATATCCTTCTCCTCAATACCAGTGGCATCGATCTCGCCCTCTTGATCGCTTTCATCTTCCTGCTCAGTTTGCGTCACATTCGCACGACCACTCTGACCACCCAATGGTGCATCGGATGGCTTCAGACGCTCGGCAGCTGCGAAACGAGCATGCTCACTCAAATCTTCGATCTGAAACCATTTTTTCAATTTTCATTCATTATTGAAAACAGTCAACAATTAACAGTGAATAAAAATCTTCGTTGTTCCGAATATCGTTTTCTGCAGTTTTCGTTATCTTCACTCACACTTATAATGCACTGAATAATAAGTTTATAATGCCTTAAATTTACATCTGACAAAGGAAAAATCCTTCTAAATTTGTCAAAAAAGCAACAAAAGTTATAGGAGGACAAACCTTAGCTTCACCGAAAACAATGTAAGTGTCTGAGCCGGGGCTTTTGTAAACGTCAGGTTTGTTGATAACGAAGAGGATGTTCTTGGATTTGCGAATACAAACTCGTGATACACCATGAACTGGTTTAAGGCCGAGCTTACTGAACAGCTTACGAGCTTTCTTTTCGGAGCGTGACTGTTTGCTACCTTTGTCACCACTCACCTACAAACATAATTTTTTCGTTTCCTTCATTTTTTACTCAATTCATTCTTCTCACGACTGCACTAGATTGGAAAAATTGGCGGCCGCAGTACGGCCATAATTAACCTGGAATGAAACGATTCAAAGACCGTATTCTGATTCTTCATTAAAAAGAAATGACGTTTCCAGAATGCAATCAAACTCTATGAATGAATCGATATAACCTGCTCAGTAAGACCAGCTGCTTCAGCGACCTTCTTCTGTGCATCTGTAACCTCGCCTTCATCAGCTTCATTCTCAGCGTCTTGTCCTTCGGCATCCGATGAGTTCGATGACGCATCGTCAGTTGTTACCTTAAAATCAATTTCATTGCTATAATCAAGAACTTCATCATTATCAGCATGAACTGAATGAACCTGATCAAGGGTGATAATGACAATATCGGAATAAATACCTTCTTGACCTCCTCCTCCTTTTCCTTCTGTTGCTGCACAACTTCTTCAACCATTCTGGCCAAGCACACACTGTTTCAATAATGTCAATACCAAGCTGAATAAGTTCATTACCTTCACTACAATCCACTTGCAATTACAATGCACTTGATACGAACACGATTCACTCAAAATGATCATAAATAATGTTCGAAAAAACAATAACTTTCAAATGAATTAATTTCAAATGAATTCATTCTGTAAATGAGTATTGTAACGTCAACATTGACAGAACAGAATGAGTCTCACTTAATCCTTTCAAGAACTCACTAACAATCATTACTCTAATAAACCCAGAATAACACCATATCAAACGAAACTGATTCACCAATAAAAAACGTATTGTTCGATGACTTTATTTTATGTCTGCACAGGGCCCATATTACCCTCATCGGAGTATGAATTTCGTTTTGCTGTTTGTACACACGAAAGCATTTGCGTATAGCAGCGCAAAAGTTGTCATCCTTGTTCTATTGTATTATAAGGAGATTTAGTGCAGCTCATCGTTTAATGTCAACTTTGTTGTGGTCGGCAGTTTCATGACATCCAGTATGTTGAGTTCAAACTGTGGACAACT